GGCGAAATGTTGTCTCAACGGACAAACTCCCTTGGCATGCTTATCTCTCTATTTGGCCGATTTCTACTCCTTCCAGCCGCCTCCCCAAACCTGGTAGAGGCTAAGCAGAACGTAGAAAGAACTGAACTGTCATCAAGCTTGCAGGGAACATTTTGAAGACAGGTATTTTGATGCAGGACTGGGAATTCAGTCTCACAGTCATATACAAACCTCGTTTCTCTGTCGGGAAGACATTCACAAACTCCGGGCAGCACATTTCCACCGCTGCTCCCAGCTGGGATGGATTCACTTCGCCCTGCTCCATCATATCCTTGACCCGCTGTATCGGTGTTGGCTGTTTCCTGATGTGGTCACACTGCTCCAGGGTCAGTCCTCCTGCCATCTCCAAAGCGTCCAACACGGGGCCGATCTTCCGCATCTCAGCGATGGTGTATGGGTACCGGTCTCCCGTTGGCTGGAGGTTCCCTGGGCCGTCCCCTCCTAAGTTAACTGTACGTTTTTTTGTTAATTCGTCTGTTAGAATTACGGGTAGGGTCACAAATTTTTTAGTAAAATTACAGGTATACGTAGAGACACAAAACGACTTGAAAAAAAGGATTGCGTAAAATCATGCAAAGCCTTTTCAAAGCCTTTAATATGCAGCAAAATTTATTAGTTTTAAAACATGACAAATTCTAACTATCTAGTGTTGATCACCGAAAATAATAATATTCTCATACCTGTGCGATCGCGTTGGTAGCCATCTGGCATCCAGACTGCTCGAAACACAGATGGTATTCTAGTAATAAAAAAATGTAATCTATGGTGACATGAAGTATGTAGATTGCTATGGACGTACTGCTGATCTGATAGAATGAATAGTTCTTCTTAGCTTTAGTTTATTCCTTTCAGCACAGTAACTATCACTATGTAGTGTGACATTTCCCAAAGTCCCATACAATCCCACATCCCACAGTTGTCTCAATGGCACTTATCCGCTCATCCCGACCATTACATACATGTATGCATGTGAGGGAAGAATGCCTTACTCACCCCCACAGCTGTTTCAGTGGCCGATATTCTGTCGGCAATACCCGGAATGCAGGTTCACCTCTATCCTCTTGTTGTGTAGAGCAGCACAACTCGTACTGGATGCAGGGGATCCACTTCTCTTTGATCTCGAACAGGGCGCTACTCAGGAACTTCCTGACCCGCAGACCTTCTGTGAAGATGTTAGAAGACGACAGAAGCTCCACTTTCAAGTAGTGGTGGACCTTGGTGATGACAAACGTTTGCTCCTTGTCGTCAGTAGGAAAGCGAGCACAACCGGCAAACACGCAGGACTCTTGCAGTCCGAACCTGCTCACACACAAGGCTTGCAGACGGCTGAACATGCCGCTGGGTAGAAACTGATCACTGAACTCGAAGTAGAGCGACTCTGGACAAATGTACATGTTGTCGGGATACAGCCAGGCGTTGTCCCTCTCGCAGCTGAGGAGTGCAGGCACGAAGTAAATCTCTTCCTGTTGGGCTTCGTCATTGGCATCACCTACTGATGTGGCGTTGCAAATGAGATAGAACTTCTCCATGAGCGCCTTCAGGAACGACTTGTGCTGGAGCAGAAATGGTTTCTGCAGTTGATGGCTCCTCTTTTCCCAGATCCTTGTCAGCAAATTGTTGCTGAGGACTCCTTCCTGTTCTAGCCAACTCTCAAACATCTTGAGCACGTCTGGATACATCAGAAATGGCTTCTCTAATTCTCGGTCCTTCTCTTCCCAGATCCTTGTCAGAAACTCATCACTGAGAACTCCTTCCTTTTCCAGCTTCTTCCACATCTTTCCCATCTTTGGATCCGTCTTTCTGTTCTGCTGATACTGAGGAACTGTGATGATTGTCTTAAAGACGTCAATCAACACCTGTGGCTGCAGGGTGACGTCATCACGGAGGCTGGGCTCGTCAAAGAAGATGACGTCACCGCGATCATGGAGGAAGGTGAGAACCAAGGCGAGGGTGTGCTCGTCTGTGATGTTGATGTCAGGATCTCGGGCCAGTTTCGCTACTTCCCGGAACTTGCAAAACGGGCCCTCTTTCCTCTTGATCTTCAATTTTGAGTTGAGATGAAGCCATGGGATGGGGATTTTCTCGCCCATGTGCGGCAGACCTCTTACCACCTGCCGTATGTAGTCACGAATCTCGTCAACTGCTGAGTCCTCAGTCGTGTTGTCTACTGCAAATATTTTTGGCACGACCAGCTTTCCTGCTTTTTTGTCCTCGATATGGCTCCATATTTCTTCTTTGTATTTCTCTATGTCTTCCTGTTGAACATCGTTAGAGTTTGTGTTAAGAATGCAAAATACTGTATTTACCACTGAAATTAACAATGGATAGGAATTCTGGAGCTGTTCATCACTCTATTCTCCAATCTACCACGTACTTGCGTTGCCGTTACCAACCAAATGGGTAAACCTAAGATAAAGAGACTTCTGGGGGAAACCTCACCGGAGAGACCTTGTCCTTGTGCGTGAGGACGATGATGACTGGAGGCCGTCCTGTCCCACGTGGTGTCCTGTCATGTGATGACGACTGGGGGCCGCCCTGTTCTGCGTTTTGCTTCCCCTCTTCATGTTGCAGAGTGTGAGAGCGAACTGTGTTGAGCCAGTGGTCCAAGTAGTCTTTATAAAAGTGATGAATACAAGGATATGTTCCAGAATCAGTGACATCAAACGTTTTGCTATACTATAATCATGTCGGAATTTTGATTACTTTGAATAGTTCAGACCATAAAATATTCCATTCCTGATGTCATGAGCATCAGTAGTATTAGCAAAATCAGTATCTCTACAAATAATAGATAGGTTTATTGCAAACTCCTGCCCGAAGGCTAATTGCAAATAACAGAAAAAAACATTGAAACAGGGCACAAAATAACTTCAAATATACATAATAACACAAGGTAATTGTCTAAAACTATGTCTGAAGGGTTTGATTTCTCTTTTGCAAACCATGTAAGACGTATTATCCGACCTTTTTTGTGCGTTTTGGCTAGTTAAAAGAAGACTATTTTTCCTTTGTAAGTTTAGAGAAATTAGGATAAATTGTAGAATGATTAGACAACTCATTTCGAGCGTTGTTATGAAACGATCAATTTGATATAAAGTGTATTTCCTTTCTAGATGAAGACCAAGGTGATTTAAAGAAAACAGATATGTCGGACGTACCCCCTCCCGTTCTCAGGTTGTCCACAGACGCCTTGTAGTCCAGGTCCGGTACAGGGTCCGACAGTTTCTGCAGCAGAGACATGACGAGGATGTAGACTCCCCTGTGGGTGATGAAGCAGTGGTGGGTTCCGTAGTAAGTCGCCTGGCCGCCGAAATCCCAGAAGGACAAACGCGGATTTTCAGCAGTTCCGAGCTCTTCCTTTGTAATCCCTGCATTCAGCATTCTCTCTGCAGATTCCCGCAGGTGCTCTGGAATGGCGGGTGTCTCTGATGCCTTGGGTTTCGTCTGCTCCTTGCTTGGTAGGTCTGATTTGGAATTCTGCCCTGCAGAGAGTTAAAGTGTGTTAATATGGTAATAACATAGGAAAGGCAGAAAATTAACATATAAAAACTGTTAATTTCTACTCTACACACAACCTTATTTGATCAAGTGAAAATCACCATATCTGCAGTTAAGAGGCTGTGATATGATTTTTACTAAACACCTTACAGGTCTCAGATATTGGATGAATCCTCTCACAAAGGTCAATTATATTATAAAAGAATTGATAATCAAGCAAGGTAATCAACGTACCTTTTGATGTTTGTATTGGCCCCTCGTTTGATTCCTGTTGTGCCGGTGAGGTAGACACCTCTTGCTGCTTGGTATCATCCTCTGTCAAAAGACAAATTAATGTTCATCACTAAGTTACTGAAGTATCACTCTTTGCTAGGTTAGAAATTTTCACCTCGTCTATCTCCTCTGTAAACATCGTGAATTCCGTGGGTAAAGCCAGGCTAGTTTTCATAAAGTTGAAAATTGACAAAAAGGTAAAGGTACGGCATATCTTTAATTATCTAAAACATTTATGATGCAGAGAATATAGTTATAGAGGGAAGAGTTCAACAGCAATCACTTCTGTAACATAAAAATTAGTAATACATGTACTATTTTATTTACCAATGCCAATGAATGCCAGGTATAACTCTGGTAATGTAAAGTCAGGTATAACAGTTTGTTTATCAAGCAGACACCATCTCATTTTGCTGCTTTTAGATTTCCAGCGCTGATTTTGATGGATGTGTTCGAAATCGAACAGGGGGTTTAAAGCGTTCGATCTGGATCGGTCTATTTCTAGCCTCACCTTCCAAAGTAGCCTCTGGTGCCTCTTCTGTATCCTGTTGTAAGGTCCCTGTCATCTCAACGTCCTCCTCTGTTAGGAGGAGAAAATAATGTATGTTTTATAATGGTACCGGTCAAGTTAACTGAAGGTAAACAATTTCTATAACTTAGATACAAGAATGTAAGAAAAAGCAGCACATTTAGTAAGAACATTAAATTTCACCTGCTAAAAGCTCTGTTGAAGATCCTGCTGAAGTGTTCTTTTGTGTCCGGAGTAATGTTGCTGCTAACTCATTTATCTCCTCTGCAGAGAAAAATAGGCATTGTGGAATCAATATCAATTATGTACAACCTTTACAGTGAAGAGGAAGGAAAACGTCCAACAGACACTCGCTCAACAAACCTTTTGACTTCTTCCATGTCTTGCTTTGTACATCTGAAATGATGTTGATTCCATCAGTGATGGGTTCCTTCTCCTCCGGATCCCCGCTGACCGTTTCTCCCATCAGCCTCTTGATGAAGCAGGTTTTCCCTGACCTGAACTGTCCCACCACCGGAACCCGTGTGCTGTATACTGGCAGCGACCCCTGGCGGCAGGCGGTGGCGTACAAGCTCGCCATCTCTGGTCCGCGCAATAGGACCTCAACAGGCACCTCGCCTAAACAACAACGTAACAATGGAGCATTTGTTGTATTTCTTTTTTTATCTCAAATTGTGACGGAAGGAAGACCGCCCCTCACCCCTCGCCCCGCCCCTACTCAGATGTGTAGCAAAGGGACACCTGTCTTCAGGCTGATGGCATGGGAAGGGCTATGCAGGATAGGAGCTACTGGGCTGCCATGGTGGTTCGGTGGCAGAGGGGGACTGGCACCCCGCATGAATCACGTAGGTAATTAATAAATCAAATAGTAACAGCCAGTATACTTCTCAAGCCCTCGGACAGTTACTGATACAAACAGCAGTTACTGATACTTCAGCAGCAGTATTTTTTATATCAATCATATCAATCACAACACAAAGGCAGTTTTTGTAATAGAAATATAATCATAATAAATACATAATTGACATACCTGTGACGCCGCAGGCCTGCAGGAAGGCATTGTGGGATTCCTCCCAGTACCTGGACTCCAGGAGCTCCCGCTTGAGCCTGGCAGCTTTCTCGAACTCCGAGTCGCTGTGCTGAAGAATGTCCACGATTCTCTTTGCCCACCTTTCAGCATCACCGGCACGATTGCGGTCGCTCACGCCGGTCTCCACGATGACGTGCCTGTGCTCTGCGCTGAGTTTCCCCTCACCAATCAAGCCGAGGATCATCTCTGCCAGGCCGGTCTTGTCGGAGATGAGGACGGGGATGCCAGCGGCGATGGCCTCCAGACCGACCAGCCCGAACGGCTCTGAGCGGGACGGCATCAGGACCAGGTGGGCCATCATTATGTCGTCCCTGATCTCCTCCTGTGTCCCGTACGGCAGCAGGCTGGGGTTCAGGTCGGGACTGTTCAGTGCGTCTTCCAGGATCTTCTGCCTGGTCTTCCAATCATCCTCGCTAATGCCGCGGACACGCAACCGGACGTTCTTGATTATCTTCACCACCTCCCTCATGGACTCACCCACGAGGTCATGACCTTTCAGCTTCTCCACCTTCCTCACCCTGCCAATGGACAGGACGACTTTCTCCCCTCCCCAAGGACTCACATAGGCATCCAGGAACATCTCGGATGGCTTCGGGAGGAAGATGTGGTGACTCTGCGGTTTCTTCCCTCCCCTATACTTGCTATGAAAGTGGAGGTAGATCCGCATGCCCACCGAGAAAACTGCCTTTGCCCTGTCAACTTTATCAAGCATGTCCTTCTCTTTCTCCCTAGCTTTCATGGCCTTCCTCCCTCCCTTGTAGTACTCTGTATCCCCGGGTAAGACGTGAGTGAACATGATGAGGTCTGCATATGGATAGCGGTCATCCTTGATGTTTCGTGCAGCCGTATCTGTGATGTCGGCATGGCCTATGATGCAGGTGACGTTCTTGGGGAGGTTTGGAAAGTGTTGATGATGGTAGTAGGTCAGCCATTCTAAAGTTGGCTCGGTCTTCCTACCTCGTGGATCTGGCCGTATCAGTGTGACGCCATCTCTGTCCGCTGCCTCCTGGTCTTGTTCGGGCACCTTTAGTTGTAGGACTGTGCAGTACACGACTGCCTTGCCTTGCAGGGTTTGGCTCGCCTGGCAGTTGATCGTAGAAATCCCCCCTTTGAAACTCCCATACTCGTCGCTGACCAACAAGATTACGGGTACTGCAGGGGAAAGCAAAAACAATGACTGAAGTCTGATAATGCAGAACAATGGTACATACTTGGAGTCATTTGTATGAATGCTATCAGAAAATTAAAAAAAATCTATGTGATAGGGAACATCAGAGGCGATCATGCAAATAGCCTTCACCTGAATCCTATAAAATAGAGTGACTAAAGACTATAAATCTGGCAATCTACACTGGAACATAATATGATGTATAAAGTCAGAGGTCACCCATATATTTTACTGGTTTACTGGACAGTCATGAATAGAAAACATTCCAAATCCGGTTACACTGTTCTACTACAGTACTCTAATCAGATTTGTTTTGAACCTTAGATCACCCAAAGAAAGAATTTCTTAGGTCCAGGCTTCTGCATTTTGTATATAAAAAAAGTATCTGTTTCTAATTCTATACAAAATATAGTTACCTTGGGCAGCCATGTTTCACATCTACAATTCCAGTCTAGCATGGCAGCAGAAGTCAAGCATGTAGCAATCCTGGAGAAAAACAAGTTATCTTAATCATATCAAAGTTGAGTCTTAACCCTACCTAGACCGGGGGGGGGCTAAAAGTGCCCGCGACAACTTTGATGTCACCTAGCGTCTGAACGGCTAGCGGTAGAACGGCCAAACTTGGTGACTTTTCCTAAAATATTGTTGGCAACAATTCCCTATCATTGGAATAAGATAATAATTTTTTGTGTTGCCCTGGCAACGGGTTTCTGACAGGCATTGTTTGCTAAATTTGGTGTACTTTTTGTTTCAACAATAGAATTTTATGGGTTTTATGTCAAGTTACTCATGGTTTCTAATATTAATAACATCCCATATAATTTTATGTAAATTTAATCATTAAATATGCATAATTTATGCTAATTTGATGACGTCATTGGCCAAAATCCAAGATGGCGGACCATATCATTAGAACAGGTATATACAGGTTACTTTCATTAAAATCTCATCAATACTTTCATTTCTTTTTCCAAAAAAGGTTTAAATGAGGGTCTTTAGTATGTTTACAACGTATTTTAGGCTTTATCATGAAAAAAACTTTTTGAAAATTCAAGATTGATGATCCAAGATGGCGGATATCTTCAATATGCATGACGTCATTTTATGACGTCACCGGTGTTGCTATGGGCAACATAAGACTTAGTACACCATAATATTCTGTCATAAACACTTGGTACAGTTATGTTGAATACCATTTAGTTTTCAGGGAAAAACCTATTTATACGGTTTTGGCCAATAAAATAACATTAATGACGTCATATTACGTCATAACGACATAAAAATTGTGGATATGATAAATTTTCACTAGTACAGCATCCTCTGAAAATTTGGTGGTCATACGACATACCGTTCACGAGTTCTGAGGGGGGGGG